GGGGGGGGGGGCCGTGGGAGGTGCTTAAAAATCGCCCGAAAATGCGGGCAGATTGCAAGGGTGGCTGGGGATGCGCGGAGCCGGGGGGAAACGGGAGGTCTCTCCCTCCCCGCCGCCGCCGAGGAGCTGGGGCCGCCCGGGCTCGGGGCATTTCCCACCAACAGCCGGGTTTTAGCAAAGAGGGAGGAAAAGACAAAAATCTGGCGTTGGGTTCCTCCCGGCGAACTGCCCTTCTCCCCGCCGGGAAAATACCCCCGCGCTCCGCTTTGGTGGGGGCAGAGTGGATTTCCACAGGCCTGGCCTTGCTTTGATTATTTTTTATATTTTTTTTTTGGCCCCAAAAAACAATCCGCGATCGTTTATTTCCTTAAAAGAGGCCTCGGAGTGGCCGCCGTTTCGTTTCTTTCTTTTTAATTTCCCCCCATGTGCTGCAGGTCAGCTCTGGGGGGGGCCGGGGGACGTTTCCAAGAGCCGGGGAAGTTCTTTGGCATGGTCCGTCTCTTGGCAAGGGCTTGGGCAGAACCTCCTGAAATTATCGATAAAAAAAAAAATTGAAAAAAAAATTAAAAATAAAAAGCCAGGGGGTAAAACGTCCTTCCGCTACCGCGGGGAGAGTGGGGCTGGCCCCGGCAGATTGTTAAAACCCGTGTTAAAAAAGAGGTAGAAACCATTGGGGGAAGGCATGGGAAGCACCACGGAGGAGATCTGCTCCCAGGAAAAAAAAAAATAAATAAAAAAAAATAAAGGGAGTTTCTCTTACAAAAGCGGCGAGCTAGGATTTTCACCCGGAGAGCCGGGCAGCTGAAGGAGGGATCGTAGGGCGAGTTGAAAATTAGTTCGTAATGTCTGAAAACAAACTCTTACTCAGAGGTAATATTCAGGGCTGAATTGGAATTTACTCCATTGTTCTCCAGTGCTCTCCTTTGTTAATATTTAATTAACATACATCCTCACAATGGCTCGGCCCGGGCAGAAAAGGCTCCTTGTGCTGCCGAGAATAATATTCCCGAGAATAATCCCGGCGATTCGGATCGGGCCGTGCAGCGCCATATGGGCACTGCAGCAAAGCGGCGGATTTCTTCTCGCAATGTAAACAGGCGGCTGATTTCCATTTCTTTTTTTATTTATTACGACCCACCCAAAAAAGAAAAAAGAAAAAAAAAAGAAGAAAAAAAAGTCAAGAGGTTTCCTTAAAAAAAAAAAAAAGGGGGGGAGGTTTCCTTAAAAAAAAAAAAAAAAATCTGCTCAGGGAATAAAATTCAGCTCGGTGCCGCTGGTGCAGGCTTTGCTTGCCGGGCATCCCCGGGACGAAAAGGGCCGGTAGATGGAATTCTGGCCGGGATGAAAGGGGATGCGGAGGGAGCGGCGCGGGCGGCGGGCGGGGGTTACCGGGGGCGGCGGCGGCCGTTCCGCCGCCTCCCGAGCCTCCCCTGGCAGCGGAGGAGCCACAAAGCCGGGTTTGTTTTTCTTAGGGTGGGAGTGGTGCTGGTGGGGGGGGGGGGGGGCGGGGCGTGGGGCGCGGGGGGGAGCGTGGGTGCGTGTCCCGTTGCCCCCCCCCGTCACCCCCCCACGCGGGACCGCGGCTGGCGTGGGGCCGCCCGCAGCGGAGCGTGGCCGTGTCGGTGCTTCTCCTCTCTCCCGGCCGTAGGTCCCCGCTCCCGCAAACCAAAGAAGAAGAACCCCAACAAGGAGGACAAGCGGCCGCGCACCGCCTTCACCGCCGAGCAGCTGCAGAGACTCAAGGCCGAGTTCCAGACGAACCGGTACCTGACGGAGCAGCGGCGGCAAAGCCTGGCCCAAGAGCTGGGGCTTAACGAGTCCCAGATTAAAATCTGGTTCCAGAATAAACGAGCCAAGATCAAGAAGGCGACGGGCAGCAAGAACTCCCTGGCAGTGCACCTCATGGCCCAGGGGCTCTACAACCACTCCACCACGGCGAAAGACGGCAAGTCGGACAGTGAATAGCCAAGGGG